TGTTCCTAGTAGCGGTGCCCTTGCTACTTGTATAGCTTCTTTGAAGCAAGCGCAAGGCCGCTGCCAAGTCGTCGCCGGTGCCGAAGCTCCCCATCGGTGCGCCCGGGAGTTCGGGCAGAGTTTCGGGCGAGGTTGGCACGGCATGACACACCCCTCCGGTCGGTTTCAAACTTGGAGGGCTGCCTGGCCAGGAAGTACGTGAATCACCTGAAAAGCCTTGGGGATTGGGGACACCTCACGAAATATGAAGCTCCAGGTATGGCTCAATTCAGTGCGTGAAAAGAGTCGACTGGACGTGCTCAAGCTTCACGATGCCCTCGCGGTTGCACCTCAACACTGTTCTGTTCTGCCCACCTGCATGATGGTATGAAGACAGACGCAACTTGGTTTACTTTGCTGATCGACGAGCAGACTTTCGTGGCTTCGATCATGTGATATGGTTTGTCGCCTTTGAGGCTGCGTGGGTGAAAATGGATCTCATCACCCAGGATGGCAACAGAGTTCTGCTTTGCACCTGTCAGCAAGATCTTCGGGAACTCATTCCCATGTTCATTGTGTATGTGGCAAACTGCCTTGGCTGCCATGCCGTCCATGTCCCCTCATTTTCCGCCTCCTGGCCTATTTGTGCTTGCGAACAAAGACATCACCTCCGTGTCCAGCGCCTTCAAACAGAACCCAGAAGCGAGTGGGCAGACCATGCCGATCCCCAGTTGTTGACTTTCTGCATCAACGCTCGTACCGCATTCCTTTGTCAAGTCTTTCAGGGAGACTTTGATGATCATTTTTGGGCAGCCGGGAGATCTCAAGACAGCCCCAAAGCATCTTCCTCCCAGGGTCAACCGGCCAATAGAGGTGTTGATCCACTTCTTGCGAATGACCCGTGGAAAACACCAGCCAAGCAGTTGTTCAGCACCAGGTGGGAGGACCTCCTCCTACCAGCTGATCACCCTTTGCAGGAGGCAGATGGCACCAAGCTTGAGCAAACCCACAAGCTCTAAGCGTCCGCCCGCCGCAACGGTGCTGTCTTAGCAACCAAAGCAGCACTTCCAGACCTTTCCAGAATCACTGCTGCAGGAGCCTTTGTTGTCATCATCCCTGCGGTTGACAGGATCAAGCTTGGGGATTTTGGGGCCAAGGTCAAAGGACCCCATGAACTGGTACTACATGATCCAGTACTCAAAACGGACTACAAACGCCTCACTCTCCTTTTTCCGATCAAAGAAATGCTTTCACACAGCCACAGGAATTTGAGATTGTCATTGAATGTGATACAAGACTCCTTCCCAGCAAGGACATTGATTCCGCCAGGGCCGAGCCATTTCAGTACATCAAACACTGTTTTGGGCTCCAGTTTGTTGACCTGAAAGATGTTGTTCAGTTCTACGCCTACCGTACAGGAGACGATTGCCAATTTCAATGTATGTTGAAAACTCCGAAGGCACATCGTGCGTTGATTCTGCACGGAAGTGGTTCGCACAACCTCCTTTGAAGTGTTACATTCCTATACGTCCACATACCCTTTGAGAGGGCTTTCAGTGTTCAACTCTTTATGTAGGCGCCAGGAGGGTCCTTCAACACCTTCGAGTAGGAGGGTCCTTCGCGTTGTTTTAGCGCCACGCCTGTTCGAGGCCGTCGCCTATCCCTGAAGCCGTCCGAGACTTAATCAAGTTGTTTGGTGGACTCCATTTGGGGATATTTGGGGTGGAATAGATTGCAAGAAACACAGCCCTGTGGACAAAAAAAATACTTGCAGATAGTGTTGTTTTTTTGGAATTATGTTTCACAGCATCCTCATATTGGAAGGCAGATTGACCCTGGAAACCCAAACATCTCGAAACGGACCTCAGTTCCCTTCAGGTTTTCTCCTTCGAAGAGATTGATTTTGGGCCGTTTTGAGTAAACATGGATGCTGGGAACATCCACAGGGTCTTGAACCAGCCCCGCTGAGACGCACAGTTTGTTGAGTCGATTTTCGTGTGTGGACATCGTCTGTGACGCTGGTGACCTCAGAAGTTTGAACAAATTTGAACAGCAAAAACTCGACTGTGATGGGATGGGAGATCTGCACCGAGACAAACGTACATCATGGTATGACAAACCAGGGGACACACTTATTTGCGCACAAACAAGGTTCATATTCATGTGTTTGTTATTGTTTGTTATTTGTTCTTTGGAGGGCCTGTTTAGTCAAGTTCAATCAATGCACAGAGCGATGACTTTCACCAGCAACCACCGGAAACCCGATCAAACAAATCATGGTTTCATCCCAGATTGTCGCATGTGAGCTCGTTCAGAGCCTAGAAATATAGGAAAGATCGCGTGACCCACATCTTTAGGAAAAGAACGGTATCTAGTTTGGTACCCAATTCTTCCTGGCGGTTCAGATGGCACTGGAACTCGCGTTTTTCCTCGATGGCTCGATGGCGGATGTCGGTGGATGTCGCTGTGAGGAGCTCGGTTGAAGCAGAAGCTTTCAACTTGGTCACGGCTCGGGGAGAGGACGGTGTTCATCAGTCGCAACCCCTGCCGCCAAAAAACCTCCATCAGTCGATCCCTGGGTGTTTAGCGTCGAACACCCGGGTGTTCACAGGGGAAAGGAACCGGTATCGAAGCGTCCATGCTGGAGAGCTTTATGTCGGGTTTCACCCCATCATCACGGTTGTCACCTGGAGAGCCAAGCTCCGAAAGGACGCCCGATCAGATGGGGGCATCAGCTCAGCCATGACGAACACCTTGTATTTATACGTGAGGTCTATGGTCATCTTTTGAACTACCGACCTATATAGTATTTTTGAGTGTCTAAGGTGTCTAGGAGTCTACCAGTTCCAGTCAATGGCATTAGTGGCCTTGGGACACATCACCTTCAAATGCTTCGTGGAGGCACCAACCAAGTCTCAAATGGTCGAACACGACTCGTTGGACATGAACTCTTACCTACCAGGACCCGCAACCTGCCAGGCCACCTGCGACTTTGAAGTCTCCAAAAGCCCATCATTTCGGAGACCTGTAGAGTTCGGTGCTGGTATAAATAAGTTCAGGTCCGAGGATCCATTTCGGGCCTTCGCTCAAGAGTTGGTATGCGAAGCGCAAAATAGCATGTGAGTGCCAGGGTATCCAGTGGTTCCAAAGACTAAACCTTAACCATAGACCTATATAGAATCCCTGGTTCATTGTATAGTGGTAACTGGGAATCACGGGGTTGGGTTTTAATTTTGCCTTTACACTAATGAGAGGACTTTGTGAGGACACACGCGCCAGGAGGGTCGTGAAAGCTTTCCTGCCAGAGCTAGGCAGGTGGAAGTGAGGTTATTCTGAGGAGTGTGTTGGTCAAAGACCATGGCTTTCTTGATCGAGAGCCTTCAGTGTGGTTTTGCCTTATTGAGGAGTGCATTGCCTCTCAGGAACACCCATCTTGGACCTTGGACCTAAGACAGGTGTGATCCTTGAAGGGCCTTCAAGGGAATGCATCTAGTCAAATGTACGGCGTATACCGGTGCAAAAACAGCTCATCCTCAGGTCGTCAGATTAAACAAAAAGACACAGCCAGGAGTCGTCACGCACGATCCGTCTCTTTTTTTCCCCGACCCATGGGTGGCAGGAGTCGTCACGCACATTTTCCCGTGTCAAAGACAGCATGGTCCCATGAAGAATAATACAGGTCCCATGCAGGGTCTAACTTGAGTCTCAGGACTCAGGACTCCAGACATATGGTTTTCGAGTTCTATGTGATTTGGCTGGTACGTCCCCAGTTCTTTGTTCTGGTGGGACGCCACTTCATGTTTGGTTCAACTCATTGATGAGCTATGCTATTGTGTCCGAATCCTCCAACAATCGATTCGATCTAAATGCTGGAAGCTTTTTTTCGGAGACCCTTAGGCCTTAGGCCTTTGAGTCTTTTCAGATGTGATCCAACAGATCACAGTGACATAGTGACAGACCAGTGGAAGATTAGAACTATTGAACAAGAGGTTTGGAGCAGAACTTGCAGCTTTGCAAGGTCGATTCATGTGACATGACTGGATTTGGGGATCGGGATCAGAACGAGGGAAGCGGCAGGTCCAAAGGATGAAGTAGACTGTTAACTGTGAACCCTCCCTGCAACTGCGTAGACTGAGTAGACTGTGGCCCCCGTGGCCCTTGGTATTTGGATTTCATGATCTCCAGAGTCAGGACATCCACTGAACCATTGTGTCAACTCCTTCAGTGGGCCCCCGCCCTCCCCAAGCTCCACAAGCTCAGAGGGGGCAAGCCCCGTCCCGGAGTGCGGCAGCTTCTGCAGGTCTGAAGAGGACGCGAGAGAATGCGGTCGTGGGAGGTTCCGGGGTTGGCAGAGGCACATGTAACGAAGATGGGGAGTCATTAGTGAGGTCTGACCTCCCCGAACGTGGTGAACGTGGTGAACCTGATCCTGCCAGACATCTTGCATGATCCTGTTAGACTTGCGACCCAGTGAGAGGAGTTGTTGTTCTTTTTTGTTCAGATCGATAGGTCTTTCAGGACCAGCGAAAAGTCTTCGTTCGAGCACAGTCAGGCCCTTCCAGTCCCGGGCTGTAGTCGCAAGAAACGGGGAATTGGGTGAATCTGAACATGCAGCTACCACAGCCAGGGTTGGGAAACAGCTACTGCAGCCAGCCCCGATCGCAGCCATATGCCATATGTTGCAGAAGAGTGGCAATTGAATGCATTCTATCATAAAACGGCCAACATTTTGGCTGTGCCTTTTGGGCAGTCGTGCCCTTTTGTCCCGGGACATACACCCTTCCTGGAGAGTTCTGTGGTGAATCAAGCCAGTCAATGTCGTTGAATTGAGTCTACCCTGCGACCAGTTACTTAACTTTTGGTTTAATGTGGACTTTTGATTCTTGAACAACACATACAAAGTTAACAATGGACACATTTTAGTCATATTTTAGTTTTACAATCCAACCGAGGGTTTTTGTTAATCAAGATTCTACATTAGTTGGGACTTCCCATGATTCTCACTCCAAGAATGCCTTTGAATGGCCGTCTGCTCCACCCGCCTTTCCGCGCGCCTTGGAACCGCGCGCGGAACGGCCACGCGGACGGTCGACAAGTGCGCCGTGGCTGGGGGTCTCCTCAGGGCCATCTCTGCTGGTGCTCGATCTCCCAAAGTGAAAGTGACCCAGAATCGAGACTCGGCTCCATGAAGACTCGAGAGCTCCGTTGTCCTCCCCTTCTCTCCAAAACGCCGGCCTGGTGTGCGCGAAAACAGGCATGCGAAAACCCCACGGTTACTTTCTGTGGAGAAGTGTGGAAGATTTAGGATGTGATCTTGACCTACATGGCGTGTTTGGTTTTGGGTTTGCTTTATTTCATGCCAAAGCGGGGACGTATTGTGTTGTGCACTTGCCAATGTTCGTGAGGCTGCAGCGGCTACAGAATGATGCGGACTCCAGACAGGGTCCCAGAGCTTCTCAATTGAGTCGTATCTGTCGCAAATGATCCCTTCTCTAAAGAACTGATCTCTAAAGAGGTGATCAGCTCTCTCCTGTTCTTCTTCACTACGTCGCCGACCGACGGACCGAGGAGAAGCGAATCTGCAGATCAGTGCTTTCGCGCGAGGGAAGCAATGGCAATCCGCCCTGCGACTGGGAGATGAGTTTGGGTGACAGACAGGTGACCGGCACATACGCTCAGAACACCTCACGTGGATGGCACCCCTGTTTTCACAGGAAAGTGGTCTTTCATGCCATCCAATGCCATCCACTTTCATGCTAGGTCTGGAGTCAGAGTGAAGGCCTATCATCATATCATCGAGGTCTAGAGTCTAGAGACATCGGTTTGCAGGTCGTGGCTGGGCGTTTTATAGCGGGCACATAATATATGGATAATCTATTGTGTTTCTACGAAAAAAAAAGAACACGCGTTCTCACCCCTACGAGCTTAGACTCTTCAGGTCTACGTGAGTGCCGTGAGTGGCTCGACTCGACTCTGCAGAGGTACTAGTAGGTGTAGCGGTGGACCAGCTTCGGATGAATCGAGGAGGTTTGGGTGGTGTGGAGCCAAGGGTTACGGTTTCAAGTATCGACCTCGTGAGATCTTCGGATCAGTTAGGGCATCATCAAAGTGTCCAACTGATCACCCTCTTCTAGGGGGGTTGCAGTAGATCCGGAGGGAATGACAGGATAGATGTCCATGACATGTCACTTCCGGTTCAGATGGCAGCTGGAGCTGGGCACTTCCTAGATCTGTTGAGCGTGTTTGCTTGAAGTGACCACTGTAATCTCTTGCGGCTTGAATCACCTTTTGTTGAACATAAAAAAAAACAACAACTCAGAAAACCAAGCAAAGTGCTCAATTCACCTTAATCCACCCCCACTACCAAAATCAGTTTGATTGAGAAAGCTGATTCAAAGCGCGTTCAACATGTGCGTTTCAGGGTCGTGGACTGGAAGTGTTTCCATCAAGCCCACTATACCACCATTTGATTGCGCTTGACTCGCATGCCCAAAGCGTTGGTGAACAGACGGCTGTGGTAAACGAATCAAACCCCTGATTTCCTGGACCTGTAATCAACGACTGGTCCATTCTCTGGCTTACTAAGCTCAAATCGGGATAATCGGGCTCACTCTTGGAGTAAGAGGGGTCCACATATTATAATGGAAGCCTCATGTCATAGGAAGGTGCCATTCGCACATCCAATCCAAGAGCCTTTCAACAGGGGATCTTTCCATACTGGAGCTCCTAAGTTCTTGTCCTTTCGCCTCACCAATCCAATTGATCGTACGAGGCTCCTCTTCCAGAAGATGAAGACGGGCGAGGCCGATGCCGGCCTCGGCAAAGCCTGCCTTGCCGCAGCCGGCGAGGCCTCACCGCCCCGAGTCAAAAGTGTTGCGCCAAGGGTGCTGGATGTGGTGAGCTACAATGCCACCATCAGCAGTTGCCAGTCCGGTCCGTGGAAACCCGGCTGGAGATCGGTGAACGAACGAGAGGTTGTGCGCTGTGGCGTCTTGGAACGTGTACTGTAGTGTAATATGTATATATGTATTGATGTATATTGAGTCATATGTATATGAAGATAAGGTTCATCATAGTCCGTCACCTGCAGTGAAAACATTAAATTAGGATTGGAAACAGAAGTGGGGAGGGATGGTTTAGGTGGAATGGGGCCTCTTCCTGGATCTAGCAATACTTCTTACCCGTTGATGGTTTCAAGTTCCCGCATACCACCTCAACCTCCATGTGTCTACAGTACATGATGTAGCGACGTTCTTTGTCCCATGTTCTTTTTTATTTTTTTGAGCTCGGAGGTTCCACAACAGAGTAGTTGTTGGGAACAATGCGTTTCCGTGCGTAGAGTTGCATCAGCCGTTGCTGGACGATGCTGCGAAGAGAAGACAAGATCATTGGGACCTTTTGGACTGGTGTCCGGATCTCAAGTGCGGGCTGAGGCAAGTTTCAGTCTACCTCCTGCAGGAGATGATGTACCAGCGAGTTTGGCCCAACATCATCAGTTCCTGAACGCCACGTGTGGGGACCAAATGGTCATCGGGCATGGGCCTGCTGCGCAACATCGCAGTCAAAAAGACTGTATTTATATAATCAGAATGCAGCATCATAGTACCATATCCTTCAAGAGGATGTCCCAATGTGTTTGGGTGGCGGTGGTGTGGGGAATGATTCTGGGAAGCTGAAAACTATGCCTGGACCGCAGTCCAGTGGATCTAAGGACCAAGTGGCCTTGGGTCAACCTACCAGGGATTAGGGCTCTGGGTTTTAACCCACAGCCATGTATCACAGGCATGCTCCACTGAACCTCTCATTCACACTCTTGTACAATGTGTTGTTGAGCAAGGTGAAGCAAACCCATGGGCATAATCAAAAGCAAATCAGAGTTAAACATATACCCTCTCTCTCTAATATATATATATAATATGGGCTGCTCAGTCAATGCTCACTTTCGAGTAGCACTTGGATTGAAGAGTGTCAGTTTGAAGGTATATGTTCCAGTCAGTGTTCCAGTCCCATGAGGTGTTTAAGAATATTGACTGTTGACTGTGGCCTTCAACACCTTTTGTTTTTTTTGTTTCTGCTCACAAAATGCAGGCTACAACGCAACCTTGTCTCTTGGCCAAAGATGTAGACGCATTCTTGCAGGTTTTTGCTGTCAGTGTATCTTAAGTTTGTCAACCTTCTTAAGAGATCTTACAAGACATGATGGAGGTGGGTAATTGGTAGGTCACTTCTGAACATGGACTGGTGTTAATATAATTAGTAGGGCACTAGTTGATTTGGCAAACCATCCATCAAAGGCTTATGACTTTGGACACCTGACCTGACTGTCCTGGGCTCCCAACAAAGAGATCCAAGGAGCTCCTGCGAGAAGGGGAATCAATGGCAACTGGCCTTTCACCTCTTTTCATCCATGGAGATCTCTCCTGAGCCGTGCCACAAGAGATCTTCCGAGCGGTGAGCGTGCGAACACGAGCCGGGGCACGGTACGAACCGTGCACGGTACGGGTTCGTGCGGAAGAAAACCAGAAGGACAGCGGGTTCATGAGATCCTGTGGTGTGACAGAAGCTAGCATCCATTTGGATGATGGGATGTACCCAGCCAGATAGAGGGGTGGCTGATGAGCCCACCTGAGCCTCTAAGCAGTAAGCCTGGTCGCCAGCCCCTCGGTTTTCACACCAAGTTTTGGTGGTCGACTATGCGGTCGCCATTTGTGTGTTCTGAGTCTAAAGGGCGGTTTAGGCGAAAGTACGTCCGTTGACGAATGTCACCACCACCGGCGTGCCAACACTGTGCCTTTTTCGAAAGGTTTGTCGTCAGCTTTGTGGTTGTGACTTCGGGGGCTCTGTCAGGGTCAGGATGAAACTTACTGTATTGTGTAAATTGAATGTACTCTTACTTACCTGTAGTAGTTGGAGACAATGATCGGGTCAATTGCAATTGAGGACTTGGTCACCTGCAACACCCTGATCAGCGCATGTGCTCGAGAAACTCGATGGCCAGACGCGATCAATCTGTGGCTAGGAGCTGGAAAACGCGCTCGTCGCTTTCGTCCGGAATGGAGGATCTTCCCCTCAATTAGATGAAGAACTCCTAAAGTTCCTTCGGGGCAGGTCTTTGGAGCAATCACAGGACTTCTTCTGTATGTGTTCCATTGTGTTCCTTCGGGGTTCCCCTCCAAATCGGACAACGTGTAGCTAGCCAAATGCAGGTTCTCCGGGTAGAGGAAGACCATCCTGGCAACGGGTCTTAACCTTTAATGTTCACAGCTACATGTTGCTTTCTTTTGACATGAGGCTATGGGTTATTACAAGATCTACTGCAAGTACCATGCAGTGGATTTCCGTGTCAGCCCCGGTTCCAAAAGCAGATTTATTCTATTTTATGTCCATCAGTGTGTATGACTGTATGACCCATAACTCTGGGAGCCCAGCCGCAGCCTTTTTCTCAGCTCTTTCTTTGCGGTGTGAGGTTGACTTCGATGGAAGGCAGAAGAGTTCTCCCAGACCTCATCAGCTTCAAAACTGCCATCACCTCCTGTAGGCGGGTCGATGCCTTGCTGACTGTGGGCCACGGGTGACCACGGGTGACTGGCTTCAAAAGAGAAGAGTCAAGGCAGCTGTGAACAGTTGTGTTGAAAGAAGAGGTGTCCCGAAAACCACCGCAGCACTGCAGTAATCTGCAGTGCCGCTGTTTGTGTGGGTGTGAATGTCTTGGAGCGAAGACGCATTCACTACTATCGGAATTGGCTTCTATGGGAACATCCTGCCATGAAAACCAGGCTACCACTATGCATTTTATCTACCAAGCAACACGGTTTTGCTTTGGGTGCTCCAACAGACTCCGTTGGTGACTCCAAGCTAAACCCGAAACGCCTCCGGTCAGCTCTCCTGTGTCCGCCCGGTCGCAGGAAGGAGGGGCGATGGGAAGAAGCCTTGGAGCTTTTGAGCCTCATGTGGCAGCAACGAGTGGCCATTGACTTGGTTGCCCGGAGCAGATGATTCTCCCTCATAACCCGACTACATCGGGCTCCAAATACATCCTCACAAACTCCTGGCCAGTTATTCTACCCGAGCCAAGTACATTATAAGGAGGTAGTTGAAACCCTGGCTTTGATCTGACTATATAAATCAGGAGTTGACCTGGACTTGGGACATGCTTGAATTTGGAGCCTCCCAAATTTCTAAAACAAGCGCAGTGCGTTTCTGGGAGTTGAAAGGGAGTTGGACCCAACAAATGGGTGGACACACAAAATTGCAGGTGCACAGCTGCTTTTGCACAGTCAGCTCGAGAGTAAACACTTTCAACACCAGTACCCACCATAAGGCGCCGTTAAGGGGCCAGTCGTGGGAGGCGCTCAGACATCCGACGTCCGCAAGCCGTGCCTTCTTGAAGTGGAGTCGAACGAGCGTCGACCGGTCTCCCTACTATTCCGAGTTCGACATCCAGGTCATTTCAACATTTCCATCTTCCATCTTCCATGTTGTTTCTTTCCATCTTCCTGTTCCACCCGCCCAGATCACGATGAACAGTGCCATGACCTGTACGGCCTCCGCACAGCAGTGGAAGGAGGCGCCGTTTGGCGCCGTTGTGCGATGACTGCGTCCGTCCTTTCCGATGCGGAGCGATGCGGAGCGATGGAAATAGCGGTTCCATAGATATTTCAACGGTGCCCCTACATCTTCCCTCAAACGGTTGAACAGGTGCAGAAGCTTGACTCCCTAGATCTCTCTTTCTTTACCATGCTGCTAGTCAATGGCCCACAATGGGGTTGAAGGTGGATGAATTGTTTGGGTGATACCTTGGAGCAAAACTTCAAGCTGCCAAACCAATAAGCTTCTATGTTAAAGTTTCCCTAAACATCTAAAACCAAATCATTTAGGGCGGTGCGGGGAGCTTCCTGGAAGAAGCGTGAGCCATCCTGCATCCATACTAGTAACTACGACTACTTAAGCTACTAGCTACCTCTCCCCACTAGCTACCGACTCCCTAGCTAAACTCTACTTGCGGCCTAACCCACCCTTGTAAAAAAACAAGATGGAGCCCACGGACCCGAATGCAGACACGTTCGAAAAGCTACAAATGACACTCTTGTAGGACACTCTTGTGGGACACTCTTGTGGGTCACTCTTGTAGGAAACTCTTGTGGGACACTCTTACGGGACAGTCTTGTGGGACACTCTTGTGGGACAGTCTTCTGGGACACTCTTGTGGGACACTCTTGTGGGACACTCTAGTAGGACACTCTTGCGGGACACTCATACGGGACACTCTTGTCGCACACTCTTGTAGGACACTCTTGTGGTCACTCTTATGGGAAACTCTTGTCGGACACTCTGTGAGACACTCTTGTAGGACACTCTTGT